GATTATGAATTAAAACCATTGACTGTGTGGATTGAATTCCATATTTCATTTTCATGTTCAATCGCAAATTAGGGAGAAAAGGAAAGAAAATAAAAATAATAATAAAAAAAACAACAACATACAAACTATAATAATATAATATAATATAATATACTATAATATAATACTAGTAACAATAATAACAAATAATCATAATACTAATAACAAAAATAATAACAAAAATAAAATTGATCCGATTGACCTTGGGCACAGATAAGAGCCTACACTATTAAACTTACATTTCATATATTCAATTTTAGATCTACTTTAAAGCCTTGAGACTTTAGCGTATGCTTCTGTAATTCTAATTTCACATTACGATCATCACTAGTTTCAGTAATTAAAATTATATCATCGGTAAATAACATATACCATGGTACCTTATCTTGGATATGACTAGTGAGTTTATCCATAACTAATGCAAAAGAAAATGGACTTAGTGCTAAGTCTTGATGCATTCTTGAAGTAATGGAAAAGCTATTAGTCAAGCCCCCAAATGTCCTCACATTTGTATACAATTCATTCATACATATTTTTAACTATGTTAATGTACTTTAAAGAAACTTTTTTTTTTCATTAAGGCCCACTAAAGCACCTCTCAGGGAACTCTATTATATACTTTCTCTTAGTCGATAACTATCATATGTAGATATTTTTTTCTCACCTGAAAACCCCTCAACAAAAGCCTCAATAGGTGAATTACCTCTGTTGTGAAATGTCTTGGCATAAATCCAAATTGGTTTTCGAAAATAGTGCCTCATGTCACAACCTACTTTCAATTACTCTCTCATAAAATTTCATAGTACAAGTCATAAGTTTCATTTCTTGATAGTTCAAATAATTTTATACATCACCTTTATTCTTGTATAAAGGCATTAGAGTACTTTTCCTCCATTTTTTGACATCTTTTAAGTATGCCAAATTTTGTTAAAAAAGATCTATTAACCATCCTATCTTTATTTCACCTAAGTGTTTTCAAACTTCAATCAAGATTTCATCTGGTCTTATAGTTTTCTTTGTTTTCATGATTCTCAAAGCATCTTTAACCTCATACCTTTTAATATTATATTTAAACACATTATTTATATCTTTAAAAAATATGTTAAGCTCACCTATATTATGCTTAAAATTGCCATTAAAGAAATTATCAAAATAATCTCTTTATCACTTTTCAATTTTCATATCTTTCACTAAAACTCTTTTGTCACCGTCTTTGATGCATCTTACGCCATTAAGATCCTTACTTTTCTTATCCTCATCATAGCAGTTTTGAACAACTCTTTATCTTTATCTCTTGTCTCTAGTTTTCTATATAATTCCTCATGGATCTTATTTTTTGAATCTCGAATAACATTTTTTGTTTCCTTTTTTTTTGATGTCTTATACTTCAGATAATTCACCTCGTCTCTATTGCTTCTTAAATTCCTACAACATTCTTGCTTAGCTTTAATTGTCATTTTTGTATTCTCATTCTATTAGAAAAATTCTTTTTCTAACAGTGGATGACTCATAGATTCATCAAGTGTCTTTTTAACATACCTCTGAATTCTGGTAGAAATTTTTTTTCACATTACTTTTATATCCTTATCAAGTTTTCAATCAACCCATTTTATCAATCTATCTTTAAAAGCTAACGTTTTGTCCCCCTTCAAGTGCCACTACTTAATACATGGTTCATGGCTCTAAGGTATCATTTTTAACCTCTAAAGGTGAAAGTTATCTAGAACTAATAGTTTATGTTGTGTTGTCACACTCATTCGGTATAACCTTGCTATATTTACAGCTATTTCTATCCTCTTTCTTTGTTAAAAAAAAGCAATTTGACTAGCGTTTGGCCCATTCCTAAAAGTCATCAAATGTGATTCTCTTTTCTTAAAACACATGTTTAATATAATTAGGTCAAATGTAGTAACAAACTTTAGAATATTATCTGCGATTTTATTTCTTTCTCCAAAGCCATATTTTTTATAGACCTTCTTAAGGTCACTATAGTCATTGCTTACGTGACTTTTCATGTCTCTTTTAATAAATAAATTTTTTCTGTTTAATATGGCTCGCACAACCTCTTTTAAATCTTGCCAAAATTTTTGCTTACTTGCTTGATCTAAACTTATTTACAGGGCATAAGCACTAATAACATTAGTCTAAATACTTAATTTAGGAGTAAATGTTTGCTTAGTTGTTTAATTCAAGACTAAATGTTTTATTTTATACAAATAAAAATTAAACGTTATTTACTTATAACAATAAAGGACCTTTTTAGATGAAAATATGGCAGTGAAACACATGTGCGTTAAGTTTAACAAATAAAAATGACGTGAAATTTCTTTGAATTTTAAAAATATTTTAATATTTTTTGACTTTAATTTTGAATTTCTTGCTTGAAAAAAAATACCAAAATGATATAATTCAATGAACAATCAAAACCCATATATAATTTCAATTTAAAACCCAGATAAAATTTTAATCAACAATCAAAATCCAAATATAATTTTAAGTGACAATCAAAATCCAAAATTAGTTTTTTAAAAAAACTAATGCCAAAATATTCAAAAAGCTCAATTGAAAAGCAGAACTCACAAGCAAAAGATTCTAAAGTAAATGGAGCCATCTTTTAAGTGAACATCTTAAGAATACAATCTCATATTCTTTTTTATAGGCTTTCAATAGAGAATCCAAGCAAAACTCAAGATTTTTTTTCCACAACCAAACACACATAAAACTTTGATTTCCCAATAGATAATGTCCAATATCCAAAGCCAGAACCCTTTTCCCAATTTTTCTATTTCTGGGGTTTTGATTAAAAAAGAATCTTACCTTGAACCAAAATAACCCTAGTTTTGCCATAGATGAAAATGAAAAGAATCTTTGTTGATTCAAAAACTTTATGATTTTATTTCAAGGTTGAACCCTTATGATTTTACAAATCTAATTGTTGTGAATGAGATTGGTAGTGTTTGGGCTATTGAGTTTTTTTTTATTTGAAAACTTAAAAGAGGAAAAAAGAGAAAAATATTAGAAATTGATTGCGATTTTTTTAGGGGAAACAAGCAAGGAAGCAAAATAGTTTATTAGGAGAAAGATTTTGGAAAAGGTAACATGACAAAAGATTGAGAGATAATTGTTTTTTAGAAATTAATTAATTAAACTAATTTTTTAAATTATAATTTAAACTGATATTTTATTATCTGGAATATGTGAACAACAATATTACCACATTAGCAGAAAAAAAATACACCATTGACTTGCCACATCAGCAAAAATAACATGTGTGCTGAGTAATTTAATAATTCACTTGAGTTAATGAAGTTTGTAATATACTTTCTCAATTTTGTAAAAAAAAATTCTTATATTGTTACAATTCGATAACGTTTAATCTTTATTCGTATAAAATAAAACATCTAGTTCTAAATTTAGTGACCACCCAAATGTTTAATCTTAAATTGAGTATTTAGCCATACCATTAACATTTTTCTCTCCTAATAAAGTTTAACATGTAAAATTCTATCTCCATTTCTTTTAACCTGAACTATATTATCTTTCAAATTCTTATCTACAATTATCCCCTTTTTTCTACTATTTTTTTTACCTATGTACCAAAACTTAGACCCTCATGTTTCTATCTCTCTAGCTTTTTTCTCCAACCCACTTAGTTTTTTGAAGACACATATCATTATTCCTTTTCTAGTCATGACCTATTCTATCTTTACTAGCTTGACAGTCCTATATTTCAAGTAGCTAAGTGTAACTTACCCCATAGGCTAGCTTCATTACTCGTGTTTGTCCATTAAAACACAAGAACCATTGCCTATTTGACACCACACTTAGGTAGCAATGTGTCGTGTCGATTTTGGGCGACAACCTAGCAACTCTTATCGATTTAACACTACATTTGAGCTTCGATATAATGTGCCGCTGAGAGATGATGACTCGATGAAAATTTTTATTTTGATCTCTCATCATGGTTTGACTATATTTTACATTGACTGTTATCCTATCGTAACTTTCCTTGCTTTGCATGGGTACGTAACCGACAATGTGGTATTAGGCAGATGGATTTAATAACTAAGCTCCATACAACTTAACAAAATATAAATATAAATATTTTTCAAATACTTATTTACAATAGTACTATTTGATATATATAAATAATTTTAATTTTTTTAATTATTTATTAATTCCAAAAAATCAATATATATTATAATGATTATATATAAATTTTAATTTAATATCCTTAATAATTATTTTTCCCTCTCACTACTCTTCATGTCATGCCCACCATTGCATTTTAGTCTAAATATATATTTCACCATTGATTTAAATTTTATCATTAAAGTATTCAATCTTTTTATTATAATAATTAATGTTACCGTCTTATTTTTAATTTCATCAAAGTTAATTTTACTATCCATCCAACTAAACCCTTGAAATATAGTAAAGTGATCACAATTGATCCACGATAAAAAATTTAGAGAGCTAATGAAAAATGAAGTTTGGTGACCTAAAATTTATGTTGTTGATTTTGTTTTAGTATTGGTCTAATCAATCGGTACATTTTAATTATACAAAAATATAATACATTTCATGATAGTTTTTCATACCGAACTTAGTATCGGATAATACCGATTGATTATGTTGGTTTGAATTAGTTTTAGTAAATTTCGATGAATTGACTTATTTTGATCAATATGTAAATGTGAAATATATTTTATAATTTTTAATTTATCTTTTGTTGTTTAACTATTTTTTAACTAATAAAAATAAAACTAATTGACAAATAACTCTTGAAAGTTTGATTTTTCTATTTATTACTATAACTTGTTTTTTATTACACTTTATTTTTTTAAATCAAAATTCAAAAGTATTTCAATTTCTTTTAAAAAAGTAGTTGTACTATCTCTCTAAAGTTTAACAATAACAATCTTAAAGCCAAGATTAATTTCTGTGTTTGTTTTCGTGTTTGTAATTTCTTTGTGTTTTGGTATGGTTTCTTGTTCCGTTGGAAAATAATAATAAGGTAGTGAGCACTAAATGAAATTTACACCGAGTAAACAGAAAAAGGGGCTAAGGGGTTGGGGGTAGGTAGAACTGCTTCAAGTGCCACGGGTAGAACAGAATTGCTGTAAAATACATCTTTAAAAACACGTACAACCAGCTATCGTAACAGACACAACAGAATTTACATTTAACAATTACTCACGCCTTGCCTGAGGACTCGTGATTCTCCGCAATGTAGCTGTAACATGCCGATATGGAGTTCAAGAAAATGATGGAATTGTTGCCTGAAGGTCCAAAATATTACACTACATGTGGAAGGTAATAGGCCGGATTACATAATGAATTTGAACTATGATAATAAGGGAAAAGTTATCTTCCCTCTCCATCCAAAGTATAAACCGGAATTTGCCACATCTTAGTGTTCTTCTTTGGGTCATCGGTGAGACTGAGATCTGTATCATCTTCCTTGAAAGTTTTAATGAATGTTTTGGCTCCCATCAAGATAAGCCTCTCAACCATGAATAATTGGTAATTGTTCTCAATTAAGGGATCCAAGATGTGACTATAATTTGATGAATAAGCCAATTTGTAACTGAAAACATAAGCAACCAATAAAATCAGGGCAAGCTCGAATGTTTATGCTTAATTTCTCAGTTGGTCGGTTTTTTCCTATTGCTTACACCGGACAATTTAATTAACACCATATATCTCCCCCATTTGGTGAGCACGCCTAGCTTCTTTCATCTATTTTTTACAGATCATGCAAAATTCTAGTTTCTCAATAATACCATGATTTCAATTTAAGACTTCAGGAATTGGCTTAAACATATGCAAGCCAAAAATTAGCAATTTAGCATCTTATGCTGCTCTGCCTGCTCATCCCCCCCTCCCACAATTAAAAGAATAAAGGGTAAATTACACCAACACCCCCAATGCTTTCGCATTTTTTTCAAATAGCATCCTATACCTTATTTGTTAGCACTTGACACCCTGAGGCTCTTAGAACTAATATCAGAATAAATTTTTGCCTCAGTACAAGGCAGGTCTACCATCCCCCAGTAAGAAATATTATGGTTCATACAGTGTTAACATTTTTTTTTTAGAAAAAGAAACCACATAACATGCATGCAAGCCATCATTTGACACAAAGTAGGAATTCCTAAAGGCCAAATTCAGCACAATAGATGTGCTCTTCTAAGCTGAAATGGAAAAATGAGAGGGGAAAATGTGTCTGCATTAAATCTTGAACACATCATATGGGGATCTAAATCTTAAATACATCCTATGACCTTTAGGAATGATTTTACCTGATGGAAAGCGGCGAAAAAAATCGTGGTGTCCTCTCATTTGAAGCAATAAAAAGAGTTCGTCCAGCTGGTACCCACTTCTGAATTCTGTGAAGGATAAATTCTGCACGGGTGTCCCTATCCAAATGAGGATGTAGGCTCCTTTCAACCCCATATCTATCCTTCCTTGTTTTTATTTTATCACCTCGACGAACATGGATAGCATCATAGTCACCAAGGAGTGTTTTAATCTGTGGACATGAAAATAATAATTAGCAGCCAGTTGACTATGAAATAAAGGTGTTTTTTGAAAAAGAAAAACATAATTACTATAAAAATTTTGCAGAATATTTTTTGTATGAAAATTTTATCTCTTGGAAATGGAGACACAATCAGACATTTCTTTGATTTGCTATGGTAGCACATTCAATAATACATCTTGATAATGAATGTAAGTTACATGTTAGATATCATCTTTACATAATCCAAACCATCCAATTATACAAGGATTATTCCATTCCTACATTTAAGCTCAAACTGCAAAAACCTTCTGGGATCAGGGATCTTAGTTGACCTCATCCAAATTATCTCAACAATATAAGGATAACCTCACTACTCCCTTGAACTCTACCAAATCTAGTTAGGTCATAGGATTCCTTCTTAATTATGAAGCATCAAAACCTCAAAGGCCCCTTGGTATTATTGCTGTATGATACAGCAAGATACATATATGATACATCTCAATATACCCAAAAGTAAATGTCATTCCAGAATGGGGCAGATACGTCACCCATTTGTCCATCATGGCTATCCAATATGTTAAACAAAACATAAACACAATTTTCTCCAAAGTCTTTTTGTTCCTTTTCCTTCAACATTCTCAATTACCAAAGTTCAAAAGCAAATGCAAGCCAAATTTGAAAGTAAAATCCAAAGGATAGTCCACATTAACCATATTATGAAGTCTGTTTTATTAAAAGAGATGGTAACTTGATTGATTAGCACATAACTGCACCATATCTGACTTGGAATATTTTGAGAATTTGAGAAAAGACTATGTTAGATGCCAATTATCAAGTATTATAGCTGATTTTTGTGCTAGATAAATTACCCAAATCATACCCACATCATATATTTTGGACAGTAGATGCACTATCATATGTATTTTAATCAGATAATAATGGAATTTATACATATTGAAAGGCCTCTAACTGCTTGACTACTTCTAGTGAAAAAGAAAAGTGACTCAGGGGCAGTGTTACAGGAAAAGCAAGACAGCAAGAGTAACAAATCTCAAAGAAAATAATTGAAGCATGATGGATAAAAAGACAGATACAAAAGAAATAACAAAGCTTCAGATTGAGAAATAGTAAACCCCCAAAATGGCCCAACAAAATATCAAAAAAGAAAAAAAATCCAGAATAGCACTATTGCCAGTACAGTGTATTCTGAGAGTTTATCAAGGGATGAGTTTTAGTATATAGTAGCATGTTCACCTTCGCTACCCACCAAACCTTAGTCATTTCTTTCCTATTGGACTTCCAGATATCATAGTCTAAACGTCAATTTGATACAAGGCACCTAATATGGTCATATATAGGTGATTATAAACCTAAAAATATGCCACATTATAAGTATCTCTCTCTTTCTCTGAACAAAATCATTGGGAAGAGATCCTAGAACATCAAAATATGTGACTGCTAGATTTATCTGAACCTGAATTTGATACAGTACACTTATGCATCACCCTCTGAGATTTAAACCCACATATGTTAGGCGATAAGGTAGAAGTCTTTTCCTAAACAAGGAATAATGGCGACTTACCACATTTGTTTAGAGTTCCATTATATTGATATTGGAGATAATGAAGACTATGAAAACAATGAATTGTTTCAGTGCTAGATTTATCTAAACCTTGAATCTTGTAGAAGGAATGCAATGAATTCAAATTTAAATGCTCAGGAATAATATGAATTCTCAATCAAAATTCTGAAATACCTCAATAATCCAAATCTCAAATATCTGAAATATCAACATCTCAATAATTCATAATCCACGTCTGCTAGAAACTGAAAGGCTAAATGCTCAAATCATGATCAAAGCTTTTTTAAAATGTTTCACCTATGGACTGAACCCTTTATTTTTGGCCAATTTAGTATGTGATCTTTCAAAATTTAACAATCCAGGATAAATTGTAAGTCCTTTAATGGTGATAGCTAGCAAGGAAAAACGAACAAGCAGGGACAGCGTCAAACCATTGTATTATTTTTAAATAGGAAAAAAATTAATTTATCAGGTAAAAAATGAAAATTAGAGCAGCCTGAAAAGAGAAAAGGGAAGAAAGAACCAGAACTTGGAACCATTACTTGTTTGTTTAGTTTTCTTTTGTTTAGGAATTAAGCTTTGCAAAAGGAAGAAACAAGAAGAAAGAAATAGAAACTTGAAAATTCATATTTCAATTTAAGTTCCTGAGTTCTCTAGGGATTTCTTCAACAAGACTTTGTGATTGTAAGAGAAAATACATATCTAAATTCATGATAAATCCAAAAGCACTAAATCCAAGTCCAAAATTAATCAATACCCACGATAGAAACACACAATCATTGCTAATCACATACAAACACAACCTCTCGTACAACCCATAAAAACCTTTCTAAAAAATTCATTAAAAAGGAAAAAGCAAAAGCAAAAGCTAAATCCAGTAGTGTGTGTGAATTTGTTTTAAGGATTTTAGGGCTCAAAGAGAGAAAATTAAAGGGTTTATCAGAGAGGAAGTGGAGGTGAAGTGAGTAGGGGAGAGTTGTTTGAAAGAATAAAGGAAGAAAAGGGGAGAGAGAGAGAGAGAGAGACCAAGTAAGCTTGTCAACAATCTAAGCAATGATGGTATGCAATGGACCCACAATGTGATTAGGGAAGAAGAAGAATTTTGGTGAGGATAGGAAGAAAAAACAGAGAAAGAAGTGAAGGATGATATTCTGTGGAGAAAAGAGAAAAGAGAAAGAAAAGGAAAGATGTCGTATAACCGTGGCAACTAGAGAAGGAGGAAAGGGGGGAATGAAGGTTTGAGAGATGAAGCATCTACGTGAAATGCAGCCTGAGGGAAAGAAGAGTAAAGCAAAAAGAGTTTCTACATTTCTAGAGTTAAATGACAGGTTTTTTTTTTTTTTTTTAATTTTTTCTAGTGTGCTTCAAATGATCAAACGGTGAAAAAGAGACACACTCTCATCACCATTCAAATTTATCCTTGAATAAAAAATGTCGAAAAGATTATATCCTAATCTGAGCATAACAAAAGGTTTGATCCGAAATGAAACACTTAGTAAAGGTTAATCTTTATTTGAGTATTTAGCCAAAAGTGAAAGAACATAGGTATTTATAGCTAAACCATAAACACTAATAGAAACAAAAAATACCAAATATAACCTTAAGCCTTAGTACTTGGAAAACAAGTAAAATACTAACTAATATAAAACAAACTAAATATTCAACTATCCTAGATATATATAAAAGTTAAAATTAAACCCGTAAAATATAGTAAACACAACAAATTCCTAGATAATTTAATCCTTCAACTAGCTTCTTTCTATCCTCCATCACCAAGCTACATATGTTATAAATGCTATGTGATAAGCTAGAATTATTACAAGAAAACATTGTGCAGAAACAAGAGATGACAATTACATTCTGCAACCATCTAGAGTTTGATTAGATTTTATATTGAAGATACTGAAGAATATGATGGATACCATCTAGCATTGACAATGATGAGATACACTGCATCCATCTAAAAATTCGTTGCTTTTCATACTGAAGATATTCAAGAATTTGATGGATGGACCTTAGTTAACAAGCCAATCCTAATGCATAGATTAAACCATATTCTATGCAGTTTGGTGAAGGTTTACAAGCATTTTCAAATAATTGACCATCAATATTTGTTTACTTCATATCTTAGCTTATAAAGCTGAAGTTTGTGTGGCCAAAAAAAAAAGGTGAAGCTTTGAGGGTAAGGTAAAAGATTGAGATAAAAGTGAAACTGAAACTACACAATTCCAGATAATAATTTCACTATCATCTATAAGCCCTAAAAAGTGTGATGACACAGATAATATAGGGAGAAAAGAAAGCAGTGGAATCCCCAGCTCAACTTATGGAGGCAAAAATATCTATGCTAACAAATTACTAAGTTTCATTAATAAAAGTATATTCCATTACAAGTTCTTTCTGCATTAGAAAGGAAAAGAATGCCCAGTAGCAGGTAACTGGTAAATAGGAAAGAAGTATTTGACTGCTTAATCCAGTTATAGTCAAATGCTATCTAGAAGATTTTAAAAATTACATGGAAAGGAGGATTAAGCAACACAAACCTGGTCAACTGCAAATCTTAATTTTTCTGCTGCCATTGAAGGAAGAAATGAATATGGCAACATTACAGCACTGTGGTTGTTTCGATCCTTGCACTCCATAAACCTGAGTAATTATGACAGATTAGTGCCAGAGGAAAAATTTAGAAAAACCAGATATCTTAACTGATTTGTATAGAACTGCTCAACATTTGTTTTGCGAGAACTGATGTCTACGAATAAGAAAAATGTACTTAATCTACACCCTCTCTGCCTACACTCCCAGGCAATCTGGTGGTTTAGATCAACCATTGGGACATAAGAAAAAGAGAATAAGCCACACCCTCTCTGCCTGCCCTCCCGGGCAATCTGGTGGTCTAGATCAACCATTGGGACACAAAAAAAGAGAATAAGCCAATCAATTACTTAATATGAAATCAAGTACCATGAAGTACCATGACAAAGGGCTTGCAGTTCGATTAATGAGCAAGAGATTTGAGTAACGACTATCCTCTTTGAGATCCACCCTCCTAAGTCCTTCCACGTGGGCAACCCCTCTAGCTCCCAGCTTCATACTTGTCGATAATATCAGATGCCATACATTCGAATTGTCTAAGATTACAGGTACAGTTTCAGATATTAGGTCAATATCATATAAAGAATCCATGGCACAAAAGCTTGCAGCCCACCTGCCAAATGGGAAAAGCAAGTTTAGATTGTCTAACTCTCTTCTTCTGTGTTGACTTTACAAGAATAAGGCAAATTGATGCTTCACCTTCACATTAGTCATGCCGCAGGACTATAGATTCAAACTAGAAAAGCAACATACTTTTTGGGAAAAAATGGTAAAAATAAGATCTATAAACTTCACTGAAAGAAGAAAACCTCATAAAAATACCTTTCCTCTGCGGTTGCATTGGCAAACTTATGGAGGATTCCCTTGTTATTGTGTATTGGATTGATACACATTCTAGAAGGCATGACAAAAGTTCTGCAATAGGAAATACAACACCAGATGAAACCATAAGAAAGTCGCATTTTTACTGCATGTACTGAAAAAAATTGAAAAAAAAAAAAAAAGAAAATCCTAAGGCAATATTAAGAACGCAAAGTTAGCCTTGAACTACAAGGTTATAGATCAAAACTGACTCTTCATTTTTCATTCTGGTGAAATGAAAATTTACTCTTTATTCCATTGAATTATGAGTATAGCTTTTTATTACCATAGCCATAGTGACAAAAATGACATAGAAAATGGTGGCACTTATCAACATCTCAAAGTTGTACAATCTTGGAGTGATTTCTATTTGTTTGGACTTCACTGTTAGTTAACGAAGCTCTTCTATCAAGAACCATTAATCCCAAACTTAACGAATACATTAAGCACAAGTGAAAATGGATAGCCACATTGATGAGTAAATACCACGATGAAACCATTCTATTCCTAGTTTAATATCCTAAAACATGAATAAATTTGACCCTTGCTCATTTTAAAAAGGGTCCAGTGTAGTGAATTACGAGTAAATTTAGGCACCTGATAAAATGAAAATTGAAAGGCAATGAAGTACCTGTTCAAGAAGATGGCTTCTTCAAGAGCACACCTGAGGCTAGATTCTTGATGACCTAAGCCTTCACATGAATCACAGTGCTTCCCAGGGCAATCGATTCGGTCACCCCAGTACAAATACTTGTCATGGAAAGAGTGCTGCCTTGCTTTCTTTCTCAGATGGATTTTGGCATAGCTGAAAGAAAACCCATTCGTGGAATCCATGGAGGAAAACAGGAAAAGCAATGCAATGGCAGTAATGCACATCAAAATGATGATGGGAATTGGCGATCTCAATTTTGGTTTAGACTTAAGGGCTTTGGGAGTTGCCATTCTTTACCTCTAAACAAGAAAAGATAGGATTTCGATAGTACGAGTATCTCAACCTCTAAGCTCTCTCTTAATTTCGTTTGCTAGAAAGTTAAAACCGTAAGCAAAACGCCATCGTCTCAGTTTCAGATCTCAGTTTTTATGGAGCCACCGCCCTCAGTAATTCTGTCTCAACAATTCTTTTTGAAGATTTTCTGTAATTCTGTGTCATTCTCCTTGAACAAGATAATGGTCTTGTAAAATTAACTTTGGCAATAGAAAAAAATATATATTATTTTTTGATAATTTAAAAAATATTCTCTTCTGCGCAGTGGCGGCTGCTGCGATAAAATTAAAAACAGTGATTAATAGTTTAATTGTGACAATTACAATTAATGGTGGGATAAAATTTTATGGAAAAAGTCAACGGTTTTGGAGAAAAGGGTGCAATGAGAAGAAAAAATTCATTAAAATATTGAGATTTTTTAAGTAAAAAAATTAATATATTATATATTTCTAATATAAATAAATTATTTTATTTGTTAAAATTTTTTATTTTAATAATTGCAGGACTTATATTTTGGTCAAAAATTTTTTATCGACTTATATAGTTATTTACTTATTTATACTTATTAAATAATTATTAAATAATTATTTTATATTTTTAATTAATTATAATTAACATAAAATTTAAGATATTTATTTACTTCAATGAATTTAATTTTTAAGCTACTTCTATAATAAATATTAAAAAAGTATCCGTATTGTGCGGCAGTGTATAAAATTATGAAAGAATACGTTTTTTTCATTTAGTATTAAAAAATAGTTTTGATGCTTTTGTGATCACATTTATCTTTTGCTAGGAACTTGAAATGTGTGTACTTTCCCAAATTTAATAGTATTTGTTTCCATTACGTTGGGATTAAATATTTTTTATTTTAAAATATAAATTATTTAATTTTTTATTTTAAAAAAATTATATTTATCTTATAATTTAATTTTGATCATTTTTAGTAAAATGTCACATGTCAAATTATATAAAATAATTGCAAAAATATTTTAATAATTTAATATGTAGTTAATTTTATATTATGATAAAATATAATATGTAATTTAATAGAAGTATTATAATAATTTTGAAATAAAAGTCATATGTCAACTTCTTATGAAACATTTATTAAGGCATTTACGTAATTATTATATTAGGAGCATTAGAGTAATTTTGATAAATTATAGTAAGAAATGTATTTTCGTAATTGTGATATAAGGTGTGTTACACTAATTTTGGATAATTATGATAGGAGTATTTTCGTAATTATAATAATAGAACATTATAGTAATTTGACCAATTATGAGAAGTTGGGTATTTTTGTAATTATAATAAGAGTGCAGTATAATAATTTTGACTAATTATAAAAAATAAGTTTTTATGTAATTATGGTGGAAAGACATTATAGTAAATTTGAATATTATCAACATTATATATAAAAAAAAAACTAAAGGTGTTATAATAATTTTCACGAGAATTAACATAAGTTATTTAATATTTAATAAGTAATTTGATAGGGGTATTATAGTAAATTTATATAAAATTTCACATATCAAAATTTTATGAAGCAATTGCATAGATATTTTAGTAATGTAATGTGTAATTAATTTTACATTATATTAAATTTTTATATGTAATTTAATAGGGGTATTATAGTAATTTTGAAACAAAATGCCACATGTTAATTTTTTATAAAGCATTTATAAGGCATATCTGTAATTATAGTATGAGAGACATAATAATTTTTTTCCAATTATAATAAGGAGTATTTCATAATTATGTAGGAGAGGAGTTGTAGTAATTTTGATAAATTATAGTAAAAAGATATTGTAGTAAGGACATGTGTCTATGTCATATCAAATAGAAAGAGGGTTATTATAGTATTTTTAAGGGGATTGTTTTAGTATATGTTATTGATTTTGAAGCAAAATACAAACGTGTCAACTTCTTATTAAGCACTTATAAAGGCATTTTTATAATTATATTAGGAGAGTATTACAATAATTTTGGCTGATTATTGTAAAAGGTTTTTTTTTTTTATAATTTATGGTAAGAGAGATATTATAGTAATTTTGATTAACTATGAGTGGAATGTATGTCTATAACTATGGTAGGAGAGTATTATACTAATTTTAGCCAATTATAAGAGGATGGATATTTTTGTAATTATAATATAAGGGTATTATAGTAAATAATTATAAAAGTAGGAGTATTTACATAATTTTGGTACGAGGATATAATAATAAATTTAGATACGTGTCAAATTCTTATCAAATATAAGGAAGGGTATATAGTAATTTAGTCGAGAATTATTTTGGTAAATTATTATAAGAAGAGAGATATTTTCATAATTATTATATGATGACATAATAATAAATTTGCACACATATCAAATCCTTATCAAATATAAAAATGGGGTATTATAATAATTTAAGTGGGGATTATTTTCATATATAGTATAGATTGGTATATAGAAAATGTAAGAATAATAATTAGACCTATTCAAGAGTCATGCAATCCATCCAAACCCAAAGGTTGGTCCGATATTCAAAAGGATTTAAGCAAAATTATTAAGCTTGTTAAATAGGTTTTGATAAAAATATGAGACTTGTTTAAAAATGAGTCAACACTTGGCTTTAACATTCAAGATTAAAACTTAGTTTGAAAAAGCACACTTTTTATGAGAAATTATTTGATATACTGCCATAGAGTTTTTAATTCCACATGTTGGTTTAAAAAACTAATACATATCCCATTTCTTTTTTAAATTAATTTTTTTATTTTTTTAAATATATAATAAGGCACATGTGGCTATCATTTTAACCCCATTTGTATGGTTAAAAAATTTTATTGTGAGTATATTTAATAATTTTTTTATTATATAATATATACTCTTTCGTTTTTTTTTTTTTTTTTTTTTTTTGTGGGATGTCCCATAATGAACTTATTTTTTCATTCTTTTCATTTTTAAACTCCTAATATGCAACTTTTTATATTTAAAATTGATTTTTCAAAATTTTTTACTTTTTTATGATAAAAATATGATACATTAATATTATAATAATTTTGTGTTTATAATACTAAATACATAAAAATCAGAGTTTTCTTAATATGCGTAAAAGTAAAAGTTAAAAAAAAGGACAAAAAATAGGAATAAGAAGTATTATTTATATAATTTATAATATATAAGAAATAAATATATAAAATTTTATGGTGTAAACACTAAAAAATTATTAAATTATTCATATTTGAAAACTTAATAAAAACAAAGTTATTAAAGATTAAGAAAAAAAATACTAATATTTAATTTATTTTATATTTTAAAATAGACTTTAGATAAGGAAAAGAGAAAAAAAATAGCATTTAATATAAGGGATGTTAATCAATAGTAAATAATCAAGTATTCAATATTATTTAATCTGATTATGTTGGATTCAGATACTTATGAATAAATAATTATCAAGTTTTGATAAAAAATTTACTATTTGTGTCAGATTTGAATAAGATTAGGATAACACGTTTTGGGTATTCGATACTCAAATCTATTTAAATTTGTTTTCATTTGTTTTTTAAAAAATAAAATTTACTTTATCTCATGTCAAGAGTTACATTAATGTTTATCTTTTTTACGTATATAGGAATCATATTCAACAGATGATTCAACTTGCACATTTGTTGTTAAGAAAAAAGAATAATTTTTTATGAGTTGATAGAACTAAAATTTTAAGATTGTTTTTAGTTTATGAAATGTTTTAAATTCGTTGTTTCTTTATGAAATTAAATTAATGTGTTTACTTTTATAAATGGATTTTTATTATCTAAGTTGTTATTTGTATTATTTTAGAAGTTGTTTGTTATTAATTAAATAAATTACTTCATGCATAGTTAATGAAATTTTTACATTTTATAAGCAAGATTAGTAGAATGTCATATATCTCTTAAGGTATATTTAAAAAAAATAACAAAAAATAATTAAAAAAATGTGACATATGTCAATCTCTAAATCACATTTATGGAATTAAAAAATAATATTAGTAGGACATCAATGACTAATTTAATTACTTAAAAGTGAACTTAAATTTTAAATTTGATTCTTATTTTACTTTATATTTTAACCAAAAAAAACTTAAGGAATCAAGTATTTTAATGAATGCATATATTTAATGAATAATACTTATTTAATTAAAATAGGGTTTAGATAGTGATAATCACATTGGACAATTAATGGATTCAAAAATCATTAAAATTAAAAAGATTCGGATACGAATAACTCAAAAATAATGAGTATCCAATCCATTTTCATTATTATTTTGAGAAATTATTAGATACTGTTAGTGGAGTTTTTTAACTTCACAAGCTAAGTTAACATAGTGATACATATTCTATTTTTTTAATTAATTGTTTTATTTTTTAAAATATACCTTAAGGGACATTTGTCATCCTATTAACCCCATTTATGAAGTTAAAAAACTACACTAACAATTTATTTCATAATTTCTCCATTATTTTATCTGTTAGGGTTTTTTGACCATATAATAAATAATAAAGGTAAAAAAGTGAAATAAATAATGTTTTAGATATTACGGTTTTTTTTTATAATACAATAAACAATACAAATAAAAGTGAAAGAAAAAATAAACAAAAATGGAAGGTTTGAACTATAATATCAAGTGAGGCATTTGTTATAATATTACACATTATCAAGGGCAAATGTAGCATAAAAATATAATTCTACGTAAGTTCCAACAATTTTTTTTAACACCCAATTTCTAAAAACACCCCATTTTTTCTCACTACACCCCAAACCCTAAATTCAAATTTTCGTAAACATCTTCACACCCTATCCTCCCATTCCTCATAGCTTCCCAATTCACTTTTCCTTTAAACTTAATTTCCCAAAAAAATTGAACTTAAAATCTAACTTAGATTGAAAAGAAATAAAAGAAAATTAAGTTATAAAGATTCTAATCAGAGCTAATTCATTTGTTTTTGTTTTAAGTTCATTTGATTTTGTTGTTGAATTTTAAAAAATTTTGGGTGAAATCGGTGCTGCAATTTGTAGCTTCCAAAAATGAATTTTTGAAAATTCTTCTAATATTTCAAAAATACACTTTTGGAAACAGAAGAGTTTTTTGAAATGCATTTTTGAAAACTTTGAAAAGATTTTGGATATTAATTTTTAGAAACTTTTAAAGGTTTATAGAAATGCATATTTATAACCCTTTTAGAGTT